GATACCTTATTTCCTGAACAAGGGCGCACCCGAGTCCGTGCTGGGTAGTCAGTACTACCACCACCTCCTCCAGGTAGTCTCGGGTCCGGTACCCCAGTGCGCACCCGGTTCCCATAATGGCGTTCACATTAGCGATTTTTTCATGCGAACCATTCCCCGTTACGGACTTAACTGCCAGGGTGAAAGTTCCCTAAGCCATTTTGAAACGTTAATAAAGATATGCATAATCCTGCAAAGATTAAATCTCCCCTCTTTTTCGCATCTTTGTTTGCGCTCAAGAAGATGATAATCGGCCAGCCAGGCCCCAATCTACTTCCCGCTTTTGCTCGGCTTCACACCACAGCTCATTTGCACAGGTACGTTTCTCCACTGCCCAGCAGTGACGTCTACTCTGCTCCCACTGAAGCTCTGTTTCTCGGGCTAATTTTCTATACTGCCCCAGCAGTGACGTCTCCTCTGCTCCCACTGGAGCTCTGTTTCTCTGGCTAATTTTCTCCACCGCCCCAGCAGTGACGTCTCCTCTGCTCCCAAAGGAGCTCCGTTTCTCTGACTAATTTTTCTACTTAGCCCCAACAGCGATGTCTCATCTGCTCCCACAGAAGCTCTGTTTCTCTGACTAATTTTTCTACTTTGCCCCAACAGTGATTTCTCATCTGCTCCCACAGGAGCTCTGTTTCTCTGACTAATTTTTCTACTCTGCCCCAGCAGTGATGTCTACTCTGCTCCCACAGGAGCTCCGTTTCTCTGACTAATTTTTCTACTCTGCCCCAGCAGTGATGTCTACTCTGCTCCCACAGGAGCTCTGTTTCTCTGACTAATTTTTCTACTCTGCCCCAGCAGTGATGTCTACTCTGCTCCCACAGGAGCTCGTTTCTCTGGCTAATCTTTTCTACTCTGCCCCAGCAGTGATGTCTACTCTGCTCCCACAGGAGCCGTGTTTCTTTCGGCTAATTTTTCTACTCTGCCCCAGCAGTGATGTCTCCTCTGCTCCCACTGGAGCTCTGTTTCTCTGGCTAATTTTCTCCACCGCCCCAGCAGTGATGTCTCCTCTGCCCCCACAGGAGCTCTGTTTCTCTGGCCAATCTTTTATACTCTGCCCCAGCAGTGATGTCTCATCTGCTCCCACAAGAGCCGTGTTTCTTTCGGCTAATTTTCTACTCTGCCCCAGCAGTGATGTCTCATCTGCTCCCACAGGAGCTCTGTTTCTCTGGCTAATCTTTTCTACTCTGCCCCAGCAGTGATGTCTACTCTGCTCCCACAGGAGCTCCGTTTCTCTGGCCAATCTTTTATACTCTGCCCCAGCAGTGATGTCTCATCTGCTCCCACAAGAGCCGTGTTTTTTCGGCTAATTTTCTACTCTGCCCCAGCAGTGATGTCTCATCTGCTCCCACAGGAGCTCTGTTTCTCTGGCTAATCTTTTCTACTCTGCCCCAGCAGTGATGTCTACTCTGCTCCCACAGGAGCCGTGTTTCTTTCGGCTAATTTTTCTACTCTACCCCAGCAGTGACGTCTCATCTGCTCCCACTGAAGCTCTGTTTCTCTGGCTAATTTTTCTACTCTGCCCCAGCAGTGATGTCTCATCTGCTCCCACAGGAGCTCTGTTTCTCTGGCTAATTTTTCTACTCTGCCCCAGCAGTGATGTCTCATCTGCTCCTACAGGAGCTCTGTTTCTCTGAATAATTCTCATATGAGCTCTGTTTCTCTGGCTATTTTTTCTACACTGACACAGCAGTGATGTCTACTCTGCTCCCACTGGAGCTCTCTTTCTCTGACTAATTTTTACTCGGCCCCAGCAGTGATGTCTACTCTGCTCCCACTGGAGCTCTCTTACTCTGGCTTATTTTCTACACTGCTATAACAGTGACGTCCCCTCTGCTCCCACTGGAGCCCTGTTTCTCTGGCTAACTTTCTACACTGCCACAGCAGTGTCGTCTCCTCTGCTCCATCTGAAACTCTTTTCTCTGGCTAATTTTCTTCACCGTCACAGCAATGATGTCTACTCTGCTCCCACAGGAGCTCCGTTTCTCTGGCTAATTTACTACACCGCCACAGCAGTGACGTCTCCTCTGCTCCCACAGATGCTCTGTTTCTCTGGATAATTTTCTACACTGCTCAAGCAGTGACCTCTTCTCTGCTCCCGCAGGAGCTCTGTTCCTCTGGCTTATTTTCTACACTGCTATAACAATGATGTTTTCTCTCCAGTACATCACCATTTAGAATTCCTGCTAAAACCCTTAATTGATTATTTCCTCTGTCCAGCAAGCTTGGTCTCCAAGCTAACGTCGCACGCATCAAAATTTATCCTCCAAGCGGTATCTCCCAGGACCCTTCAATCCTATATTACCGCTTGGAGGTAACATAAAGAAAGGAAACGATAAATATAACGTCTCTTATAACTTGCCTTCCCCCGATTTTTCTCTTTCCAATCAAATCTTTTATCTCCTATTAAAGGTTATTTGAGCGGCAATCCAGTTTTTCCCATAAACTGTCGTACGGCACTACTTCTGTGGAGTTAAACAATTCACAAACCCTGATTAAAGGGATCCAAAGATCCCAGCCCACCCGCCCCCGACTCCGGACACCCCATAACACTGGAAATTCTCATTAAATGTATTCGGCTTCCGCATAAGCTACCAGCCCTTCAGTTCCACTCACACACTCAATGCCACGTTTAAATTACCCTTTTTCGTTTTTCTTAGACACTCAAAAAACCGCCATCACTTTATGAGCAGAGTGAGTGCTTTCCCAGAGGAGCCCTTACATTTTTCTCCTTCATCCAGCGAGCAGTTGGTCTCACAGCGGATGCAGTGTGAGAAAAATCTCCTGGGCAAGCACTCAATTTTTCCACTTTTCAGTTTTCCTTCTTCCATCCAGCGAGCATCGGTCTCACAGCGGATGGAGTGAGAGCTTTCCCAGTAGAGCACTTAAAATTTTCTCTTTCATCCAGCGAGCAGTTGGTCTCACAGCGGACGGACATGAGAAAATTTCCTGGGCAAACACTCATTTTCCCCTCTTGTCAGGTTTCCTCTTTCCGTCCAGCGAGCATTAGTCTCACAGCGGACGGAGTGAGAGCTTTCCCAGTAGAGCACTTAAAATTTTCTCTTTCATCCAGCGAGCAGCTGGTCTCACAGCGGATGGAATACGAGAAATCTCCTGGGCAAACACTCATTTTCCCCTCTTGTCAGGTTTCCTCTTTCCGTCCAGCGAGCATTGGTCTCACAGCGGACGGAGTGAGAGCTTTCCCAGTAGAGCACTTAAATTTTCTCTCTTTCATCCGGTGAGCATTCGGTCTCACCGTGGACGAGAGTACGAGAAAATCTCCTGGATAAGCACTCATTTGCTCTTTTCAGGTTTCCTCTTTCCGTCCAGCGAGCATTGGTCTCACATCGGACGGAGCGAGAAAGTTCCAGGTAGAGCACTCATGTTTTCTCTTTCATTTCAGCGAATATTTGGTCTTACAGTGGATGCAGCGCGAAAACCTCCTGGACAAGTATACAACAACCACACCTTGTTCGCAGTCAACAAGGGCCATCAGTCCAGGCAGTGAGCCAACATCACGGGCCTCCCTGACCAAGCATCCAGGCCCCTTCTCGAGATGCCAGCCCGCCATTTCTTGGCACTCTTTGGGGGGTCTTTAGTCCGGCGGCTGTCCTCTGCTCTTTAGCCTTTTGGGGGGAGTACTCTGGGTTCGGGCAGAATTCCGAGCACGGAGCCCTCCCTCCGGACAGCACGCCAAATACGCATTGAATCTTGCTCACTCAAAATTATATGTAAGTGTGAACTCGTGAAATGAAGTTTTGTTAATAACTAAGTTCGGGAGGAGCACGTTCAGATAATTAACACGAGTGGACGGCAATCAGCAATCAGCAACCAATGATAAGAGGGTATATATAGACTCAGCAGTCTTACCTCGATCCATTGGCAGTTTGCAGCATCCCTCCTCCACCCCTTCTCCACACTCCTAGTCCTGCACACTCCTCTTTCTAAAAAATCACTTGCATACGGGGGGAGTACTCTGGGTTCGGGCAGAATTCCGAGCACGGAGCCCTCCCTCCGGACAGCACGCCAAATACGCATTGAATCTTGCTCACTCAAAATTATATGTAAGTGTGAACTCGTGAAATATCCGTTCGAGCTGAGTAATGAACCCTGTGCTACATATATAGAACCCTTTTTAAGAGTGCAGAACCAGTTTCCTCAAATTCAAGGACCCAACACAGCATAGTAAGCTAATAAAGTTTATAAGGAGAACTTGTAGGCTTTACAGATGCTCACAGAAAACAATTTTAATGAGAGAAAGGGCACAACATTACCTGATGGATCGTTGAATTTTTTTTTGGATGATGAGCATTCCACTGTTTAACAGCATTTATGCACGCCTCCTCCTGAAGTGACTTGCGATCCTCCTTCGCCGCGTGCAGTGCATAAAAACATTCTGCTCGAGCCGCATCCTCGATTCATTGTGAAACGTAATTGTTTGCCTACAGTGGTGTAGACAAACTATATAATACAGTATGACTAGGGATACTATCAGCCCACGCAGTCGTCTCTCCATAATTAAACCATAGACAAGTCAAACGCTGTCTGCCGGATTTTCCATCTCTGTTTACTTCCGGGAGCTCTGGAATTTTCTCGCATGTTGATTCTGACCAATCAAAGTACAGTTACCTCTGGCCAATGAGTGATGTGGATGTTGTCACGTGACTGCATTTTGGTTCGTTTCATCAACTCATCAGCTGATTCGGACCAGAGCAATCAGTGTGGTGTGAAAATGAACCAAAACGCCTGAAAATGATACAAAGTATAATTTTTCGCCCTTAGTCCGGACCAAATGAACCTACAGGTGTGAAAGCACCCTAACTCAGGCTTGGGACGGCCCTAAACTAATCTCACCTCTCATTTAAACATCCCAAAAATGTCACCGGCAGGTAACTGATTGCTGAAATGGTTAGTTAATGAAGTGTCATTTTAACAGCGCTTGTGTTGCATACTAAACTCACTTTTTTTCCTCTCGGCTGCACAGTCCACAGGAAAACAGCAAACAGCTGCCGCCACATAAAGCCATTATAGCTGAACTCCAACCAATGTACAGCCCTTCTCCGATTTCATACCTAAACACACAGGACACATCTAACATTGCACAGTAGAGGCATTCCAAGACTGCGACATGACAGGCAAATATTGTCTGAAACATAATCACAAACATGTTTGTATAAGTGATCTTACTCATGCTATATTGCTTAATTAGATAACTCCAAATACGATAAAATCATTCTAAATATTTTCTCTAATAGCTCTATATACCAAGATAATAACTCTTCTTTCCACTTACTTTATTCCTGGATAAAGTGGGTCAAAGAATTCCTGAGTGATATTGAAAGCATACCAAGACACTGCAATCATCGTGCACAGACCTGAAACATAAAAATTAATTTTGTTTCTATAAACAATACTAATGTTTAAATTACCTATGCTTCTCCTTACCAAGACAGTCAATCAAAGGTTATTTTGAAGACATTTATTTTGTGAAAGCATAATCTTAATGATGCAAGGTTTAATTAATTAACATTAATGCACTGGGTATCATGAACTATACTCATGCAGTATTTACTAATCTTGGTTAATGTTATTAAATATATTTGTAACATGGCAATTTGTATAAAATTATGTATAATGAACAAAAAATAATTAACAATGGATAGTATATATAGGATTACCCTTATATAGAGTAATAAATCCTATATATAAAAAAGTTTTTGATTAGTTCTTGATTAGATTGTGTTGGGTAAACAAGACTCAATGGCCCTCATTTAACATTCTTGTATAGAAACTATTCAGTTACCTAACATAACCTCGGTTCTCTCTAGATAAAGGAACGAGTATTGCGTAAACTAGCTTACGCTACGGGAAAGATTAATCTTTCTTTCTGTGATTCTGTGATATTTACGCAAAAAAAAAATTTCCTAATTTTTATATCCGTTGTCAACGCAGTGCAGCAGCTGCAGACCATGAGCGTCCTCCTAGCTAGTAAGCTCATTGGTTGCGCTGCGGCAAACTGCTGCAGCCTATAGACGAACTTGAGTGAACTCGAGTCCAATGAGAGGCGCTCGCACCGTCATTGCATCATAGCCACGCATGCAGCGCCCAGTGCTGAGAGTGGGAATGCCAGATCGTGCCGCAAGCTTAAGAGAGGAGATCTGCTCTCACTGGAATGGGCCACAGGGCTGTCTGTGACAGCTGCGTAAGCTCTGGGAACCATGTCTGATTCTCCCAGCGCGGAGCTATGAGGAGCACCGAGTGGCACGTTTCCCTGATCCTCTGTATTACCTGTGGCAATAGCGAGACGGGAGGGAAGATGTTTTTCGAGAAAAATACTGGGCAGTGAGAGTTTTCCTCTGACGCAAAGAGGTCTATCTCTGCTCTGCCGAATATGCACCATAACTTCTGGACTGTTTGAGTGTGCAGGGACCATTCCCCTGGGGGAATGTTGTCTCTGGACAGTCTGTCTGGGCCATCGTTCAGGTGGCCTGGCACATGCGTCGCCCTCAGCGAGCGCAGATGGCACTGGGACCAACTCAGTATGCGTTCCGCCCTGACGGTTTAGATAGGATACCACAGATCTGTTGTCCGAGCGGACCAGGATGTGGTGACCCTGAATGATCGGGAGGAAGCACACAAGCACGTAATCGACCGCTATCATTTCCAGACAATTTATGTGAAGGCTTTTGCTGAACTGACCAAAGTCCAAAAGCCGGTGAGCCCTCGCAGACTGTGCAACAACTCGTGTTGGACGCGTCTGTCGAAATGACTTTTCAGCGAGATACAGCTCCCATAGTCACTCCCCGCTGATACAATTCGGCCACTGTCCAGGGCTGTAGAGCTGAGATACAGGTCTGAGTCACTCTGATAGGCTGGCGGCCTGGAGTACTGCTGCGGCTGAGGCTATGTAGTGGGTGGGCGGAGAGGGAGAAAGCGAGGCTTGAGGGAGAGGCTCCGGCGAGACAGTCGCTTCCATGAGCGGTTCCGGCAGCCTTTGGGAGTGGCACTTCTTCTTGCGCAGCGAGGTGAAAGACGGTGCGGCGACTTCGGCTTTAAATGCTTCGAGTCGAGCCCACAGGGTCGACAATGGAAGCTCTTCGCAGAGGTCGCATCCGCTGTCTGCGAGAGCGAGCTCTGCATGTTCCTGTCTCCGACGCTGAGAGGGGTGCGGTATGAGTCGCAGGTGGTGCGAGGCATCTTTAAAAAGACAACTCGCTTGCTCTTTTGTAAAGTTCACTTGGAACTTATGCTCTTAAAAGGCTACGTCAACCGGATGGCGTAGCTCGCAGGATGGCTTAAGGTTGTGTAGACTCCAAGCTTCTTCAGGCCCTGTCCAGGCTTGCTAGATGCCCCTCAACGGCGAGTGGCGAACCGCGCTTATATACACTCTAGCCATGCCCCTTCTGGCGGGCTATGATGCAATCACGGCACGAGCGCCTTTCATTGGACGTGAGTTCACTCAAGTTCGTCTATAGGCTGCAGCAGTTTGCTGCAGAGCAACCAATGAGCTCGCTAGCTAGCCCGCTCATGGTCTGCAGCTGCTGCACTGCGTTGACAATGGATACAAAAATTAGGATAATATTTTTCAATATCTCAGAAAAGATTAATCTTTCCCGTAGCGTAAGCTAGCTTACACAATACGAGAGAACCTCTCGTAAGAGAACGGCCGTTTATTGTGGTGTACAAAAGTAATGGTGATGATATGATGTGGAGTACCATTTATTCACATTAGTAATTGCATGACAATTTGTAATATTCTTATTATTATTATGATTTTTATTATTAATGCCGCTTATTGTTATTTAGAAGAAGAATGTTGTTATTATTATTTGTATTATTATTATTTTTTAAAAGAAGAAGAATGTAATTTTTATTATTTTGTCAGTCTGAATTATTTTTCCGTGCGCACCTGCCAGGCCTAATCCTCCTGAAACGTCAAGTAAAGCGCACAGGCTTGCAACTGAAGGAATACATGCCTAGAAATCAAATGCTTTGGTAAAGTCACACAAAATAAACAAAATTGAAGTCCATGTTGCACAAGAATAAACACTGAAGTTTATAATTACTACGTTGTTTGTTGTTGTTTTTTTACAGTGGGTCATAATATATTTATATTATAGATATTTAGTTTGTCAGTGGGTTTTGTGGTGTTAGGAATCGTTCTTCTTGCGCATTTCCGCACTAACTCAAAACGTGCGACAGCACCTCCTGAGCTGGCGTGGGTGTACACCAGGTGTACGCCAGATGTACGCTGGAAATATGGTGTATGCACTTTTGATAAATGAGGGCCAATAAGATTGTGAAGGTAGATTTTTAACCAAGAGGGAAATTGAAATTCACATAAATGTTTGGTCGGGGAAAGGTGTAAACTTTTTTATAGATGAGTTGTTTTTTTTTTTAATTTTAATTTATTTTTTAATTTTTTTTATAAAAAATTCTGTTCGTCAAAACTGTTTCTTGAATGCTCCGTACAGTGTACCTCAATATATTGACTTTGAGTCAAGTCACATTTATTTATATTTTCAAGTCACATTTATTTACACTTTTTACAATACATATTGTTTCAAAGCAACTCCACAGAGTTAATGCAAAAAAAAAAATGTTTAAGTTCACAGTCCAGTTTAAGTAAGTTCAGTGATGCTTTATTTTTGTTTTACAATAAGTTATTAATTTATATACCCAGACAGCAAACTGACATTGAATCAACGTGGAAACGACGTCTCTCATGACATTGAAACAACGTTGATTTTGCTCATCGAATTAACGTTGAACCAACGTCAGACGCGGCATTCTTCAAAGCTAAATGAAAATCGAAAATTGGTTTGCTTTCATAACGTTGAAACAACGTGTTGATTTCAAGTTGATTTTCCGTTAGTTTTGAAAGAATGACGCGTCTGACGTTGGTTCAACGTTAATTCGATGAGCAAAACAATGTCAGATCAACGTTGTGTCGATGTCATATTTCCACGTTGATTCAATGTCAGTTTGCTACCTGGGTATATATATATTATATATAATATATATATTATATATTATATAAGCTATTATACAAGAACTGAACTGAGCTGGACGATGACAAAGATATATATATATATATATATATATATATATCTTTGTCATCGTCCAGCTCAGTTCAGTTCTTGTATAATAGTGACAATGCAGACAGATCAATATTATTGTTGAATATTAAAGTAAATGTTACATTTTAATGTCCCCAACTAAGCAAGCCAAGCCAATGGTAACAAAGGTGAAAAAAGGTGACACTGGCAAGGAACCAAAACTCCATCAGGTGGCAGAATGGAGAAAAAAAAACCTGGGAGAACCCAGGTTCAGTCAGGGAGCCAGTTCTCCTCTGGCCAATGAACAAACAGTGTATGATTATGATTCAGGCGGCATTATAGGTCAGAAGTCAGATTGGTTTGGAACAATCAGAGTATTATCCAGTTCCATCTGGCTGAAATAAAAAAATATGACAGCTAGCCCTAAATGTCACAGTTAGTTGCAGCATGGAGTAAGGCAGGATCTATACACAGTAATCACTTTATTTAACAATAAACCAAATAAAAAACAAGCAGGATCACTAGAGATTTCTGGAATGCTGGAGAATTGACCCTAAACATAGACAAGAACAGAACCAAGAACAAAAGAGCTAAACAATAATGAACAGGTGAAGAAAATCCAACAATGAGTTTCTATGGAAACAAATTAAAACATTCTAGACAACATGGGAACATAAAAGAACTACAGGAAGTCCAGGACAATGAAACAGACATCAAAACTTAAAGGGATAGTTCACCCAAAAATGAAAACTAACCCATGATTTACTCACCCTGAAGCCATCTTAGGTATATGACATTTTACTTTCAGACGATCGAAGTTATATTAAAAAATGTCCTGGCTCTTCCAAGCTTTATAATGGGTATATTTTTTGGAAGTCTATCAAAGCGCATCAAAGTGCTTGAAAAGGCTTTATTCGACTAAAATAACTAGCGTCCGGCAGACGGCCGCATGCAAGTCGACTTACGGCAAAAGAGTAACACTTGATGTATGAAGTAGGATGTAGGAGTAGCGTAAGATTTGATGCCTCTCGCAGTTAAAACAAACAGGGCTGGGCAACCACGTTCGTAATTACGGTGTGTCACGTCTTATACGAACTCATCGCTTCACTTCAGAAGGCCTTTATTGGCCCACCAGAACCGTATCGAGCACTTTTATCATCGATGGATGAGCTTTGATGGCCTTCCAAAAAAAATATACCCATTGACTCCCATTATAAGGCTTGGAAGAGCCATGACATTTTTTAATTCAACTTCGATTTTATTCGTCTGAAAAGAATATACACCAAGGATGACTTCAGGGTAGTTAAATCATAGGGCTAATTTTAATTTTTGGGTGAACTCTCCCTTTAACTTTAACCTGATTTCCTTTACTGTATATGACAGGTGGTAAGTCAGTAAAGGACATCACTTGGTTAAGTTCTTACCTTGCAGTATGAAGAAGACCCCTCCAGCCCCAGCGATACGACCCTTCATTATGTAATTCTCCCCTCCTATCTTGGAACATTGCATACCCACTAGAGTTGCCACCAGCCCGAATGCACCTAGCACAATGGATGTGATCATTAATGCACGGCATGCTTGGATTAAACCTGAGAAAACAGAGAAGGAACAGTTACAAGTCTGACATCTGTACACAAATAGTAAAAAAAAAAAAGAAAAAAAAAAGAAAGATATGTGAACAAGATACAAATATGTATATACAGTACATAAAAAATAGACATTAATATGTACAGGTGTGCTATGTAAAAACAGAATAAAATGTATAGGTAACACTTTACAATTAGGTTTCATTAGCGTCATGATAACTACATCAGTTAACATGAACTCTATTCATGTTACTCTATGAACTCTACTATTAAAATCAAAAGTTGTATTTGTTAACATTAGTTAATGCACTGTGAAGTAACATGAACAAACAATAAACAGTTGTAATTTTATTAACTAACGTTAACAAAGATTAACAAATACAGTCAAATGAATTGCTCAATTAACAGTGAGTGGAATAAGTAGAGATGGGGTGTTGTTAAATAAATGTAAGTGGTATTGCACATGGTTATCATTGCACAGTGGGGAGAACATTTAGCTGTTCATGAGGTAGATTGCCTGGGGGAAGAAACATTTATTTTGCCTAGCTGTTGCCTAGCTGCTTTTGCCTAACAAATTTGAAGAACTCCACAGCAGCCACATTGCTGTTCATGATGGTAAATAGGGTGAGCTGGGGTGTTACTCCCGATTCCACTATCATCTCCACTGTTTTGAGCATGTTCAGCTCCAGGAAGTTATGACTGCACAAGACAGTCAGTTGATCAACCTCCAGTCTGTATGCAGACTCGTTACCATTGTGGATGAGGCAGATGACTGTAGTGTCATCTGCAATCTTCAGGAGTTTGACTGAAGGATCTTTAGCAGTGCAGTCATTTGTGTGCAGGGAGAACAGCAGTGGGAAGCCCTTATGAAAGAAAAATATATTTACCAATATATTACTTGAAATATATTGTAATATATTATTTTCATTTTCATTTTCCAATATATTATATATTGGAAATACATGGAGTAATATATTGATGATACAAATATTATACAATATATTAAATATATTGTAATATATTGCAAAATATACAAATGATTGCCGCTTTCAATATATTGAAATATATGGTAAATGAATATATAATATATGTAATTATATATCCGAAAATATATGCAATTTTATATTTATTAATATCCACCATAATGTATTGCAATTTGTATGGGATAATGTATTGGTTATATATAAAGATATAAGGTCTCATGTATGTTCAATATATGGTAGAATACATTTCAATATATATATGGAAATATATAAATAAAATATATGTATAGATATGTGTTCCATATATTGTGAAATATATTTTAAATATATTTAAAATTGTATGGAAATATGTGCATATATATATGCACATATATATATATATATATATATATATATATATATATGAAGAGTTCAGATGCAAAAGCCTCTAAATGCCATTTGAAATTTTCTTCTAAAATGACCATTTTTATCAAGCTTGTATATTTAAGTTCAGTAATTTCACTTAAATGACAATTAATAGGTAATCTTCATTGCCATTTAAGTGAAATTACTGAACTTAAATATACAAGCTTGATAAAAATGATCATTTTAGAAGAAAATTTCAAATGGCACTTAGAGGCTTTTGCATCTGAACTCTTCATATATCTGTGTGTGTGTGTGTGTTCAATATATTGTGGAATATTTTAAATATTTGTACAATTATATCGAAATATATGCATGCACATATTTATAGATATGTGTTCAATATATTGTGGAATAGATTTTAAATATATGTAAAATTATATCTAAATATATTGTATATATACATATATCAATATTGAGAACATGCACATTCTGTAACGATGCAGGGAGGAATGAAGCAGAGATTGAATCCAATCGCAAGCACTTTAATAAACAAACAAATAGGTAAACCAGGGTAAATGACAGAACACTCAGAACAGGAACAGGGGACTCAGGACAGGAAGAATGAAACAACAAACATTACAACATCAAGAACTCACAAGGACTGAACTAAAACACAGGGCTTAAACACAAGGGAACACAAACTAAAAAAAGATAACAAGGGCTCCCGGACGAAGGCTTGTATGCCGAAACGCGTCGGAGTGTTTTTATAGTGTTGATTATGACCAAGCCATAGAAATAAAGGCTTTTTAACTTTTCTAAAGAGAGTGCCTTGGATGTTCCTGTGTTGATTTATAAGATAACAAGGGGGTATGGTTTAACTGAAACACTTGGGAAGACTAATCAACATAATGGGGAACAGCTAGACATGGGACAAGACACATGGCAGGATCACATGACAAACAGGGAATCACATGACAGACAAGAACAAGGAACAAGACAAAACCCACACCGTGTATACACAAATCCGCCGCGAACTCTACGGGCGCCGCCATCTTGCCTGCCGCCATTACTGCGGGCCTGCGAAGTGCGACGGTGATGTTCCTCTAATGATATTTCAATTAAAGTGGATCCTGCTTATGAAATAAAATGTCTGGTTTACATTGGGTACCCGGTATGATGTCAGGCAGTGGCCAAAACTAACAGATAAAGGTAATTTATTGACAACATGTGTTAATGTAAAAATGTAATGTAATGTAATTAAGACGTGTATTAATTTATGACAACAATAAAACTGAACGCTGTCATAGATGTGTTGCTAATATCATATGTTCACATGCCACTGTCCCGAAAAAATACTGCCCTACAAAGGCAAAATGCACTAACTACGCAAACAAAGAAACGGAGAAAAAGGCCTTTAAAGTTTTTATACCAGCCAGTCAAACATGTTATGGATAGATTATGTGGTAATGCATCTCCGAAACGGGACATAATTTAACCCAGATATTTTTTTACAAGACAGAACACATGTCATAAAGCCCATTACAAGTCTTAACTCATTTTTGACCAAATGTGTAGTTACTGAGCTTTGCCTTTGTAGGGAAGAATAGACTGCTACTGATCTAACCACTGACTACACCAGCAACATGACATTTGAGAACGATCACGACACCAGTTATAATCCATTACAGCCCACACGCGCATCAGACCATACAAACTCAACATCCAGCCACGCAAGAAAACGCCGAGGTAATAAAATGCTGATGTGATTTGCTGCCCAAGAATTCAAGATTCAAAGTAGATTTATCTGAAATAAAAAATCTTTGTAACATTATAAATGTCTGCGTTCACTTTTTGATTACTTTCATGCATCCTTGCTGAATAAAAGTAGTGTATTACTTACTTTAATTTTTTTCAAATGTAGCGTATGTTACAAAAGCTTTTTATTTCAGATAAATGCTATTATTTTGAATTGTGATTGATTTCTGTAATGTGACTTTTTTGTGTGATCCTAAAATCCGATTTACAATTAAATTGTACATAAATAGGTTAAGCAAAACAAATGTTTAAACTTTTGTGTTTTTTAAAAAAAGAACATTTTAAATGCATACTAACCTGAAATGATATACTGTTTGATACAGTACAACTATTTTGAGTGTCTCTTATTTCCCTGTAAAGAACAACACTTGTCCTACATTTTTCTCTGAAGTTGGCTATGGTCATTAAATGGCTTTCCTGAGCTAAATGTAACGTTATGTGACATAATTGTTCTCCTGCTGTTATATTGACCTCTTTCCATAGTTTAAAAACACTAATTGGTCGATATTATGTATACTTTCTAGCTGTAACGTTACCTTACCCTTGCCCGTTGCAATGTGAAAACAAGATAAATAATGGACACAAATGAAAAACATGAATTTGTTTATTTGATTTCATTCATTTATTTATTTATTTATTTATTGTTGCCAACTGGACAGATCTTTTTATACTTTCTTCGTTAGCAAACGTTGGCCTAGCTAGCTTGCCAAGCTATTTTCATAAATAATCTGTAAGATTGTTTGTACCTTCATCTGTGACAGGAGGCCACTGTCTAACATCATCAACCCAATAAGTCATTCTGCCTGGCTGTAGCTGTCATCGAGGGTGCGTTCATGTTATCACCGAGGTTTGTTTACATACTGGTGCATATGTCTATGCCGGTGTAACAGCTCAGTAATGGCGTCGCCACAAGATGGCAGCCTACACAGAACGCTCGTCGGATTCGTCTATTCTTCAAAAGACCATACTTTTTCTGGGTGAATACCAAATTTCCTTGTCAAATTCAATCTGACTGATTCAGTCACTATGGAGTCCATGTGCTCTCCTAACAATGACTTAAACTCACTGTCTGTCCATAAAGGCGTAGCCAGTCCACCTTTTTCAGTTGATGGAACTAGCCTAGCATTCCTTCAAACCATTTTGTGAGTTTCTTTGTTACCACACAAACAAACCCTAAAACTTGTTTGATCAACAGAGGCTACACTTGTTAACACAGATCAACTATTGTTAACCTTCTTTGGCAGAGCAAAAGATAACCACAATATTACTAGCACTTATTACTAATCTTCCCTACTTGAACAGAGGACAAAACAACAACAAAAAAAAAGCATGTAATGCTATTAACATTTAATGTTAATGTTTCCCTGCCTGCAAGAATAGAGGATAACCAAATCATTAGCACCTGATGCTAAAACTTCCCTGCCTGAAACAGAGGATACTCTTTTTAACACGTAATGTTAAAACTTCCCTGCCTGAACAGAGAATATACTTTCATCTCTAAAAGACAACTTTTAAAGGATAACTTTAGTTAACCAAACTCTACAGCTGTTTGATAACTATTCTCTGACAGTGCAGAGGATATTCTGGTTTACTGGTCTGCAGCGGTTCTTTTGAATAGAGTGAAACTCACCGAATCATTGGTTGTGCAGAAATATTCAGTCTGGAACTCAGGCAGAAATGTTCATTCTTTGTTGAGATTCACTTCTGGAACTCCGCTTTGTTGAGATCTTGTTTGCTTGAAGTTTTTAAGATTCAGTTCAGAAAAGGTTAATTCTCTGTTGAAATCTTTGTTGCTTGAAGTTTCAATATTAAGTTCTGGATTCAGGTAAGATTCTCTATCACGGGGGACCAAAACTGTAGTGAACTTTTTCTTCCAAAGTGGAAATCAGAAGCACAGACCAGGAGACTTTGAGTTATCTTTCACGCAGAAGTTCTTTATTGTGTTGCTGTAGTCATCTCAAAAATTGTCTAACTAAAACTAAAATACAGAACTGTTCTTATACATTTCAAGAGGCGAGGAATTACATAGAGGAGGGGACTCTTGAAACAAAGCAAATGTAAATGCATGATTCAGCTGGTTACAGGAAAATTTCCCAGCCCTGATCTCATTAGCATACCAGTTATTTGAGTCTTCTTGAGATGCTAATCCAATCAGCCTAGCCTAGGACTAGATTGCTCAAACCTTTACATTATTATTGAGACAAAGGGTGGGAGTCTCAGTAATCTGGCTCATTTAATTTACAATAGAGAGACCAGGACAGACAGAAAAGAGCCATTAAGATTTTCAGAAATCTGAAAGCAGGATTAGCCAGATACCATTCCCCTCCTCACCTTGAATGCTAAATTCAATGTAAAGAAAACTTTCTCAGTTTATATTGGAATCTAAATTAAACATATTCTTAAATTTATAATCTTTCAAGACAGAGACAACCTGCTGTGCGTCTGAGCAATGAACAAGCGAACTATTGACTCGTTCTTCCAACCTGCGGCTAGTGTGTCAGTTAAATTCACTTGCTGGCTTCCCAAATAATACATTACAATAGCGATTATAAAAAAATGTGAACAAAACAATTACTCTTTGTAAGTTGTGTATTCAAGTTCCGTCTTCCGGTTGAGTTGGGTACGCTGGTGCGTTCTGGCTGCCGCTCCACTCTCTAAATAGACATTGTGATGCGGTGCATTTTATTTATGTTTGTCGGGAATTTGCTTCTCTTGGTGTTGGCATGGTGGCCTTCTTTTCACTTTGAGGACTTTCAGACAGGCCTGTCTGGAGCTGGTGCTAAAGAGGCTTCAATGAATATGGCCTTACAGTTCACCTCCTGCCAGCTGCTATGCCTGAAGCGGAATTATTATCTGTCTAGCGACACCTATGTCCACTGTGACTGGGCTGGATTGCTGCGGCCCAAGCGGTATATTCATTGGAGCTCAGGACGGAGCTACGTCTCTTCCTCGTCTTCTTCCATCTCAGTTTTGAACTGTCATTTAAGGATTAACGTTAGACAACCGTCTTCCTCTGGTGTTGATTTGACCAACTTATCAGCCCTTCCGTCTGAGTGGCATCCCTGTGATGTGGAGATTGCAAGCCCTTTAAAAGTTGCGTTACTTAATGTGCTGGATTTACCTTACCTTCGTTTACCTTTTAACGTGTTGATTACTGCAATGGTCTCCCAGCTGGGGTATAAAAATTATCTATAGACAAATTACAATATCTACAAAAGTCGGCTGCTAGAGTATTGTCTGGGGTCAGGGCTAGGGATCATATTACCCCTGTCTTGGAGTCTTTGCACTGGCTCCTTCCTTGTCAGGTATCGCATTGATTTTAAAATCGTTATGCTGGCATTTAAGGCTTTGCACAATCTAACTCCTCAGTACTTGACTGATCATTTAATACCTTACACACTACGTTGCAATGTGCGTTCTGCTCAGAGTGGTCTCTTGGTGGTTCCCAAGACCCGGCTTTGTTCTAGAGGTGATTGAGCATTTTCCTCTGTTGCTCCAAAGCTTTTGAATTCTCTCCCGACTGTCATCAGGGAAGCAAATACATTAGTGACTTTTAAATCTTGTCTCAAAACATTTTAGTTTAGAATTGCTTTTAGTTGATTATTCATTTTACCTGTTTTTTTTGTGTGTGTATTGAAGTGTGTAGTTTTTTATTTTATTTCATTTTTTTATGTCTTTATGTTTGCCTGTAAAGCGCTTTGAGAAAGCAACATTTAAAGGGACTATATAAAATAAATGTATTATTATTATGTGAGGGGCAAATGCTCGAACATGACCTGTCATTTACGCCGTCATCACCCGGGAGTTGATAGTGCACGAGCGCAGGCGAGACCTGAACTGCAGACATTACCATCAGTGTTTAAACTAAATTCATTTAAATTTTGCCATTGTAACCATTCAAGAGCAAGACGCGAAAGAGAACTCGCGTCTATAAGATTTGTGTATGCACGCGTGTGTGTGTGTGTATGTGTAGGCTACCCAGACAGCAAACTGACATTGAATCAACGTGGAAACGACATCTCTCATGACATCGAAACAACGTTGATTTTGCTCATCGAATTAACGTTGAACCAACGTCAGACGCGGCATTCTTCAAAGCTAAATGAAAATCGAAAATTGGTTTGCTTTCATAACGTTGAAACAACGTTGATTTCAAGTTGATTTTCCGTTAGTTTTGAAAGAATGATCCCAGCAAACATGCCAGTGCGGGCCCACTGTGGGTAAGTGTGGGTTTTCTGTGGGACAGTGTGGGCAAGGGCAAACCCTTTGGGGCCCCATGTGGGCTTGCTGAGGGCAAGCCCACAGTGGGCTTTCCCACAGAAACCCCTCAAGGGCCCCTAGTGGGTTAGCCCATGTGGGGCCCATAGCAGTTTTGCCCATTTGGGCCCCCATGAGGGTTTACTGTTGGCAACCCACTGTGGGTTTGCCCACAGAAAACCCACAAGGGCCCCCAGTGGGTTAGCCCATGCGGGGCCCATAGCAGATTTGCCCATTTGGGCCCCCATGAGGGTTTACTGTGGGCAACCCACTGTGGGTTTGCCCACAGAAAACCCACACGGGCTCGCAGTGGGTTAGCCCATGCGGGGCCCATAGCAGTTTTGCCCATGTGGGCCCCCATGAGTGTTTACTGTGGGCAACCCACTGTGGGTTTGCCCACAGAAAACCCACAAGGGCCCCCAGTGGGTTAGCCCATGCGGGGCCCATAGCAGATTTGTCCATTTGGGCCCCCATGAGGGTTTACTGTGGGCAACCCACTGTGGGTTTGCCCACAGAAAACCCACACAGGCCCCCAGTGGGTTAGCCCATGCGGGGCCCATAGCTGTTTTTCACTATGGGGCCCCCATGAGGGTTTACTGTTGGCAACCCATTGTGGGTTTGCCCACAGAAAACCCACATGGGGCCCCAGGCAGTTAGCCCATGCAAAGTTAAGTTGTTTAACAGTCAAATGTTTTAACATTAGAAGGTTTAATATTAGAAGCTTAATCAAACTATTTAACGATCCTGTGAAATGTCAGTCCATAATTAACTAAAACTGCATATAATGGATTATGAGCATGTGCATTTAAAAACAAATTTTTGACTTATAAGGAATTATAAAAAAATATAGATGTAACTATATATTGTAATGCGGTAGGTCTTAATGAGTCTTTATATATTTATAGAATTGTAATATTGCTCATAAATAAGTAGAAATGGTGCTATAATTCATTATAAGTATGGACTGCACAGAAAGTGTTACCACATTTATTAAATAAAATTAACTTATTTGTCACAATAAAAACAATACAATGGTTTACTGATTTGTTTTGGTATTCATCAGTGATGGATATTTATCATAATATCATATATTAATGATACTAATAAATAGGCCTACATCACTGATGTAACGATTGAGCCCAATCAGACACAAACGAAACTGCGACGTCACTGGACGTAATTTCATTACCAACTTTCATTTATATAAAGCATTTTAGTGCTTTCATATTCTAATGAAAAAAATAATATTACATTGGTCATAGAACTACATAATGATTTTTAAATTCATGATATAAAATGAATTATATTTTAAATTGTTATATGTTATAATTCTAGATGTTTAAATGCTGCGTGCCTTTTGAATTGATATGATTTCAACGCGCGTGCGCGTGCGAGTCGCATTCAAAGTTGTCCGATTCAAAGACAGGAGCGCACGCGAGCAGATGGAAACCATGGAAACGACTCAACTTCTTCAACTGACAAACAGCAAAAATAGCGTCTCTCTGTTTTTCCACTGCTTTCAGGTAAGTTTAGTTAACGAAATCACACAAATAATACATACAAACGTTCCTGACACCTTTCTTACGTATAATTGATACGCTTCTGTTGAATATTTACTTTGTAGAAAAGGTTTTGAGTCTTCGAAAAAGTCCGTTAGCATCTCAACTGTTTTCAGAATAGGTAACGTTAACGTTAAGTTAACGTTAGCTCTTGTTTTACATAAGTTTGGGGTTTTAACCACATCTTTGTGTTGATAACAGTTTTTGATAGTTTTGTTTTGCTGGTAATTTGTCAATGGGTTATTGGAAATTAGCTAATTGCTAGCTAGCCTGAAAGAATTCACACTGTAACGTACTGTTGATCAGTGACGTCACTTACAAAGATTGATAATAAAAGTGATTTTAGAAGGGACAGAAAAAAAACCTCCACAACAAAGGAGGAATTATTGTTTAATGATAATAATTTCATATGCATTTCTTGCACAATATATTACGTTAAGATTTTATATTATTTTTCTCTTTTCTGCATTGCATCTTGATTCCTTGTAATAAACCCTTTGTTCTATTGCAAATCCTATGTAACATTGTTGGCTCTGTGACACATTGCATGTTATTTTGTAGTCTAGAAAATCATCATGATGTCCTGCTACAGCCCTGTCCCAAGACAACCTCCACGGCTATGAACTCGACTAAAGCAAAACTTCAATCATACTGTTTAAAAGTTTGGGGTCTGTAGGATTTATGCTTTTTAATTAAGTCTCACACTCATTAACCCCAGTTTTTTTTCAGTGATATTGTCCTTGAGAAGTCTGTAGGCTAAATAATAGCAGGCAAAATAATATAATGTTATAATGGTCATTATAATAATTAATTTAACTATTATGATAACAGGATATCATGGTCATTGGTATATTCTCTAGGTGTGTTTTTAATTATGTTGGCCAATGAGACACCATACTGTCCAGCGCTAAGGTATTTATTTATTTTCATGTATTTTTTTTAATGATAAATACTAAAGTTCTTTTAACTTTTAAATGCTGAATTCAGGGGGTCAACAACTTTAGGCACGCAAGTTATTTTTCACAGATATCTGGCCAGTTTACTTATGGCTCATATTCTTAGCCTTTAAATGTTTGAATTTAAATCCACAATGCAATATCAGGGGGTAAAGATATCATTAGAGTTTCTAAAGTTACCATGCTCTTGTTACCAGATGAGATATCATTTGACCCTGTGATTCTTCAGGACCAGATCTTGATGCCATCCACACCCAGTACATGACAAAGGTGAGTTTCACAATAGCTGCCACTACCACAAACCAAGAGACCGAACACAACAGGCCTTCATCCATAAGAACTCACCCATACGTTGGGATAGTAACCAAAACCCGGTATTAAACATTAAACGGGCCCTGGGGCCAAATTAAAGGACATCTCCGGTCAATTTTAACATTGAGCTATTTTTTTTTTTGTACATTTGGAATGCTGTCAGTACAGACAAAAATCGGTGTTGCCTATACACTGTGTTATCATCTTTTTAAAATTCGCACCCTGCTGACTTAAATGGGGCATGGTCTAAACCTGCTTTTAGCCTCTTAACATCCTTGATTTGTCATTACGAGTGTACAGCCATGTGAGTGGTGTTATTAAGAGTGACCACGGTCAACCTGACTGCAGTAGATATGAAAGATATTAATAAAAATGATGTTAATTCAGCCATCGCACATACCTCTATTTGCTTCCTGTTTTCTGTCGATGCCCACAGTAGTCGATTGTCGATCTCACACGTGAGTTCATTTATATCGTCTCAAACCTACCACTGTGTGGTGTTCTGAGAATATCAGCTCAAATGGATAGTTCATCCGAATCAGATGTTGAACACACAGAGGTTTGAGATGATATTCACTTATGATCGCGCGCGTGAACTTGACAATCGACTACTGTGGGCTTCGCCCGAAAACAGGAAGCAAATAGAGGTATGTGCGCTGGCTGAATTAACATCATTTTTATTAATATCTTTCATATCTATTAACCGTGGTCACTCTTAATAACACCACTCACATAGCTGTGCACTTGTAATGACAAATCATTACGAGGACAAAAAAAATAATTACAATCTTTTTTAAGGAAGACCGCAGTATCGATAAGCCCAGGTGTTATCAGTTCTGTCTTGCAAATTCTGTGAGGATTAGGAGGGTTATTTTAAACAGTCTTCATACAACATGTTTTTCAGGCTGGTGGTTGTTTGTAATTTTAAATTTAAATTTTAATAAGTAGGGAGAAAATAAAAACCTTTATTAAACGCATGTTAATGTTTTCTAAATGATTAGTTAATCATTAACTAAACAATTGTAAATTATTTATAACTGAATCTACAAAACATACAATAATTAACATCACTTATAAACATTTATGAAACGCATAATCATGTTTCATAAAAAATAAGTTAATCATTTACTAATCACTTGTAAATGACTTGTAACAGAATTAACAAAACATACATAAAATGTTAGTATATCAATTGCTAATCATTTATGAATGTTTTGTAAAAGCTTAGTTCATCATTAACCAAACAAAATGACTTACAACTAAATGTTATTATAAACCGCAGCTCTCTCATTGACCTATTCAGTCATTCTCTTAGTTGAGCATTTATAAATAGCACCTGGAACAATCAGAAGACGTTTCCTCATTCAAAGTGCAGGTTGAAAACTTTCTTAGGTTGAAATGGCTCAACAGTATAACCCTTATTTTGTTTTTAACATTTGTATTTCAATTGATCCTTTCTCACTTAGATGCTGTGACAAAAAGCAGTCAAGCCACTGCATGTGATGTGGAAGCCTCTATGAAGACATGGCTCCGTAATCCCTGGGACAGAGATGGGGGAAGGCAAGGAAGGGCCAGAACTGCAGAAATACCAACTGTTGCCCCTGAGGGGATTGATTTTTAATTTTCAATCCCCTGTTTTCTGTGGTTATTGCTGTTTTAAACTGTATTATCATTAATTATAATTATTATTAAATATAAATAAATTATTTGGGGAAAAAAACATGACCCTCGATTTATTGCTGCTAACAAGTGCAATTGTACTGCATATAGTAATATGGGTGTACCTACTCTGTGTGCTCAAACTTTGCAACTGCACACACAGTGTGCCCACATCCAGCCTGCTATAATTTGTGTGGGCCAGCCCAAAGTCATCCCACACTTTGGGCTGGCCCACGGTAAGTAGAGTGGGCCCCGATTAAAGCCAGTTGTGGGCCCACAGCAAACCCTTATAGGGGCCCATTTGGGGCCATTGCAGGCAGCCCACTGTGGGCCCACAACTGGCCCCAATGGGGGCCCACTCTACTTACCGTGGGCCTGCCCATAGTCAGCCCACACTTTTGGGCTGTCCCACTGGGGCCCCACCTGGGTCCCGAAGTGTGGGGCCCACACGTGCCCCGCATTTCACGCCGGTATCTGTTCCCACAGTGGGCTGCCCGCAATGGCCCCACATCGGCCCCTATAAGGGTTTACCGTGGGCCCACAACTGGCCCCAATGGGGTCCACTCTACTTACTGTGGGCCTGCCCACAGTCAGCCCACACTTGTGGGCTGTCCCACTGGGGCCCCACCTGGGTCCCGAAGTGTGGGGCCCACACGTGCCCCGCATTTCACGCCGGTATCTGGGCCCACAGTGGGCTGCCCGCAATGGCCCCACATCGGCCCCTATAAGGGTTTACCGTGGGCCCACAACTGGCCCCAATGGGGTCCACTCTACTTACTGTGGGCCTGCCCACAGTCAGCCCACACTTGTGGGCTGTCCCACTGGGGCCCCACCTGGGTCCCGAAGTGTGGGGCCCACACGTGCCCCGCATTTCACGCCGGTATCTGGGCCCACAGTGGGCTGCCCGCAAGGGCCCCATTCGGGCCCCAAAGAAGCTTGTTTGCTGGGATGCGTCTGACGTTGGTTCAACGTTAATTCGATGAGCAAAACAATGTCAGATCAACGTTGTTTCGATGTCATGTTTCCACGTTGATTCAATGTCAGTTTGCTATCTGGGTACTCATCTCAGACAGCGCGCAAATATTGAGTTCTCTTTCAAGTCTTGCACTTGAATAGACAAATTCAAACAAAAGTATGTCAACATGTCCGTCTTAATGAGTATCGTAGCAGACATAGTCTGCTATACTTAAGTGAACTTATAGACCATTTCACAGGATGTAAACAACACTGGTCCAGAAACACTTCCTGTTTCAGTTTGTAACTGTTTTCTTTATTTCACATGTAAAGAAAACATCTTAAAGATGTTTGTTTAACTTTTTGATTCAGTTTTAAATGTTCTGTTGGTTGTATTTTATCCCAGCTTTTATGTAGTGTTAAAAAACTGAAACAGGAAGTGCTTCTGGACCAGTGTTGTTTACATCTTGTGAAATGGTCTATATGGTCAAGAAAAACACTCACAGTATGGTGTAGGCCAACTGAATCAGCTCTAAATTGAATCACTTTTGTCACTTTTGTTGAATCACTTTTTATAAATTAAAGATTAATCCTTATTATAGTCAAATATGTCAAATATGCAATGTTATTTTACATTTGATTATTTTATTCAAATTCTGTAACTGAAAACTAATGTTAGACCTACCTGGAAAGCATAATTTATTTTGTTAGTATCTTTTCTCTATTATATTTATTTGTGCATTTGCTTGTGGTTAGATAATTTGTTCATATTTTCTTTATTTAAATTGACAGTAGTCTTTTTTCCCCTGAACATAGCACATACCAAATCATACCGAAACTGTGAACATAAAACCGTGATAGAAACTGAACCTATTTGAAACGTTTGAAACAAACTGAAACTATTTGAAAGCTATTTGAAACGTTGCAGCTAGTACAGTGTCACAGTCGGAAGATGATTCAGAGAGAGAGGTTTTTGTGGCGAAAAAGGCCAAACCCACCATTTTCATGAAGACTGGCTGCGAGAATTCAGCTGGTTAAGGTAGCACTGTAAGAAGACAAATTCCATGACCTGCGAACGTTGCAGTCACTGCCCATAACTGCGGGGAACACGAAGTTTGCAGACAGTGCAGGCACTTCACAGTTTAAACACAATACGCTAGTTAAACACAATCTTAGCCTCAAGCATAGAGTATGCGGTGACATGTTAATAAATCAAAAAGTAACGCCACTGCCATTGCTTTTAGAAGACAAGAGGTTGTAACGTTAAATCAGAGCGCAAAGGCATTTTAATTTCTGCATCTATTATCAAAGTATTTATTAGTAATACACTGGAAATTTAATTAGTAGAAATGTGAATATTTGGTTAGTATGTTGTGTGTGCTCCTAAATTTTCTGGTTGTGCCCCTTAAATTTTTTAGTTGGGGGCTACTGTGCTCCTAGTGAAAAAAGTTAGTCTGGAGCCAAGGGCAAACCAACATCAGTGTCAGTCAATGGGGTCAAAATACCAAACAGTTTCTTACTACTTTTCTAATTCACTCTCAGAGAACAAACAACCCAGCAAGCAATTTTGTATGTAAAAGACGTCTAATAACCGTCCAAACAAGAACAAATTTGGACTGTCAGGGAAAATTTTGTTGACTTCTAACCGTGGCCAAGAATAGATGCACAGGCTACGCATAGAAAATGTCTAAGATATGAAACAAAACACCTTGTAACTACTGTTGACTTTGGTTACATGATGGAATATCATACATCTCGCAAGTTATTTTGGAAAAAACGACATGCAACCAAAATTCAAGGTTATTTTGGTTAACTAACCTATAAGGGGAAATGAGGGCTATTTTTTTTTTTTTTGCTGGGAATGATTACAGAACTCTTAACATAAAAGCTTTTTGTCTAATCACACAGCCAAACCAACAATTCACTAACAAAACAACTAAATGTTCCACTAAAATGAGTGACATCAGGGCTCTTAGGGTGTGCCTGGAATTGACTGCAGTCACTGCACCAATCAGGTTGAAACACTCATTAGCCTAAATGAGCCAATCATCACCATCCCTAAACAATAAGGCTGCGTCTAAAATTTACATACTCTCTTGGGTAGATACTTTACTTATTTGAATAAGTAATTACTTCATGACAACTAAAGAAGTATGCTCTATATGTGGTTTATCAGTGGTTCCGAAATTAATTATTAATATATAATATATATATATATATATATATAATTAAACACAACAAATTATACTAAATTAAGAATATACATAATATGCAGACAGGCTATGTAAATTTTCAGAATACCTTAATAGAATTAACCGCACTTCAACTAATCAGTTCATATGCCGAACTGCTTTGTTGGATACTCTTTATCAATTTTCATGAAGGTTTCTTCTTAGTATTCTTAGTTTACTAATTAAATTAGTTTACTCAACAATATCAGCTTGTAGCTTCAGATCACACATTAAAGAGGTTTTGTTCTATGACCAACAAACAGAGACAAGCAAGCGTATAATGGAGTTTAATAAAATTAACTAGGATATACAACTACATTTAACAATGAAGATATAGAATAATGAAAGTAAAAACAGGAAGAAAGAGAAATGGAAACACAAGAAAAACACAATTGCTAACAAAGCTGAACCTTAAGAGCCAACAAGGAAAATAAACACTTTAACCCCTTAACGCCAACTGTCACAAATATGCGACAAACCGTTTGACTCAGTCAACCAGCCGAAATAACGTCTTCTTTCCCCCAATGCTGGTTAGTGCATATTCGCTACGGACCTAGGACCTTCGACAAGCACTTGTTTCTAGTGGGACCGCAAAGTGACGGACTTATTTCCTGTTTACGCGCGAGGATTACTCCGGTCAGGAAAGTTATGGATATGAGTCGGAAACGTTTGATCCTGAGGTGTATATAAGGTAAGTTTTGCTAAGATAAAAATACTCACCTGCTTATTGTGTGCTTATACACTCGACGTAATGAGGTGAAGTATGTGTGACAAGTATTTTTGAAGTTATTGTAATATTTAGCTTTGTAGCATATTAGCGACAGTGGACCATAAGCCTAATGCTGACTGCTAACCAGCGGTATATAGAAAAACTCTTTTAGTGACAGGTTATCTAAGTAATCCTTTGTATTTTGCTTAGTTATTTTCAATAGTCTGTATACAGACACCATGCTGGGATATGAATACAAAAGCTAATTATTTTTGTGCAGATCCGAATGAAACCTTCCGTGTTTTACGGCAAGCACGTAAATGCGCAACTTCGCGTCAGAGCTCCCCCAGAGGAAAGTGAGGATAGTTGTCTCAGCGATAGTGCAGGCAGCGATGAGGAATGTGTTCCCAAGCCAGGTGATGAAGAGAGCTGCAGTGAGAGTGACAGGAGCAGCAGTGATGAGGAAAATGTTGTCAAGCCAGGTGAATCAGGATTTAAAGTTAGCACCAGCACCAGCCAAATGCTGGTCAAATTTTTATGTTGGCTGGTACTAGATTTTAGACTGAAAATGCTGATTCCTATTGAATGGCTAGTGAATTTCACCAGTTTATCCATAGATTATCCATAGATTTTCACATTTCTAAAAGTTAATTTTGACCCCTGCAGGTGTGAGGAGCAGCAGCAGTGAGGAGGATGTTCAATACCAAGATGCGGGCAGTGCGGGCAGCGATGTAGAATGTGTTCCCGAGCCAGGGGATGAAGAGAGCAACAGGAGCAGCAGTGATGAGGAGGTTGATAGCACCAGTGATGAGGAGGTTGATAGCACCAGTGCCCAAGCTGCAAGAAAGACACAAAAGAGACAAAACAAAGACAAAGTGGCATGGAAGACGGTGAAACAGATTCAGAGCTCTGCAAAAAAAGTGCCAGTGTGGGAAGGTGCTCTGCCAGAACCAGACAGTGACACAATCAAACAGCCTGTTGATTATTTCAGACAGTTTTTTGACACTGAACTTTTGGATCTTATTGTCAATCAGAGCAATCTGTACAGCACACAAGAAAATCCAAACCATGCCTTGAAATTAGATCAGAAAGAATTGGAGCAGTTCATTGGAACTGTTTTGTACATGAGTGTTATCCGCTTACCTCGCTCTAGGATCTACTGGTCTAATGCATGTCGTGTAGAGCAGGTGGCTGATGTGACGCC